AAGGATCTTAATTTATGCCTTTGGTTAGCGGTTGTTTTGTATTTATGTTTGGGTAGTAAGAGCAACGATCGTGGGTTTCTCTGCCATGCTCTTTCCCCGCAGGAGCTCTAGGTGAGCCTGGCACTCTCCTTTTATGTTAAATGGTTGTTAATGTTTTTGTTGTTCTTTCTATTTGTCACATGTTTAATTTGAATTGTATGTAAATAAAGGTTAGGTGTATTTACTCTGCTTTTGTTATATATAATTAAACCATACATCCCCTCTACAAAGTTAGTAGCCAGCGCCTTCCGGTAAATTAAAAAAATAGATACACACAACGTAGGTAGTCCTTATGACGATCACATCTTTTTGGCCACAACTACGTTTACTTATTTTTTGTCGAACCTAGGGTTGTTATACTACAGTATACCTCTGCAGTTTGGTCTCCTTATTATAATTGTTACATAACATCATTAAACAAAAGTACAGAGGAGGTTCCTTAAATCGGCTAGTTTCATCTTAGTACTAGCTTTGAGATTTCCTCAAGATTTATTATTGGATAGGTTTAAGATGCATAGTTTAATTAGGAGAAGGGTTATGTATTCGATAATGTTCTTGTACAAAATGATCAACCACGATATTGATTGCATTAAGCTTACAACGCAAATAAATTACCGTATTTCTCGCATAAATGCTATTTTGTTCAGTCTTCCTCCTTCGCGCACAAACATGTTGCGGTGATTTCCTTTACATCAAATGCTTTATAATTATCATAATATGGAAAATAGCCTGGACATATTCAATATTTTTATTGCACATATTAAAAGAATTTTCTATTCTCACAACTGAGTTTTCGGTTATTTCTTTTTTGTTTTTGTGTTACTTATGTAGTTGTTTGTGTTATATTCTTATTTAGGATGATTTTTAGATATACTAATTCTTATGTGACTATTGTTTCTGATTAGCTTTGTATTTTTTGGTAAATTTTTATTTTTTACTTAGGTATTTTAAATTTGTGTGCTTCTTGTTGTTTATGTGTATTTATTGTAGCTGTAATATTCATCCTGTAATTGGGTTTCTACGTTGGGTGAATTAAAATTAAATAAATAAATAAATAAATAAATCTTTATCGATATAATATTAGAAATAGACCGCCATGCTGTCGTATAATGAAAATAATTTTAAAATACAGATGTAATCCCATCCAACTTTTATTTTTTTATATCTCAAATAGTAACAGAGCTGTTCTAATTCGCCTTATATCTATGTAGTTAGATATTTAATCAACTGAGCCTCTGGATGATTTTACTGAATCAAAAAATACACTTTGAAATTTTCTTTATGTTTTTATTTTATATTTATATATTTTTAGATCTGTTTTAAGTATATAATTCGTTATTTTCAGATAATCCAGGCTAATGGAGAACGCGATCCACGACTTCAGTCGTGTGTCGAAAAATTTATTGAACAGGTCGGTAAATTAAGCTCAAATAAACTGCCAAGTTGCTATGACGTAGAAAAATTAAAACAAGGGAGAAGTGATATAGCCGTATTCGAAGAATTTTATAGTCAGCTTCCGTCCAAGTGCAAAAAGCCTAATAAAGAGAATATAGTCGATTGCTTAAAAATAATAGGTCAAAATATAAATTCAAAGAGTGACGAAATGAAGGCCGCATTAGTTAACAGCATTCATTCATTTTTCGCAGGAGGGAAACACTGTATTGATAATATCAAAAACGTATTCACAAATTTAGACAAATACGTATTAAATGGCTGTCAAGAATTATAAGTTTTTAAACATTTTGTTGTTATTAAGAAATACATGTGTTATTATTTAACTGCTTTAATATTTTTTATTCTCCTCATGCCCAATACCTATCCTTAACAAAATGTTATGTAAATCATGTGTGTTACAAAAACAAAGCAAGCCTTGAATAAAGCTATAATGGAGTTGAGGTGAATTCAAATCGTACAATCATAATACAGAGTATTATAAATGTTTACAAGCCACGTGACCTCCGAATTTAGGCAACCCAACATTGCAGAATTGGTACTGGTAACGAAAATTCCCTAGATATTGGCGTCACCAATATTAATGACACGTTTACAATGACCAAGGACAAATCATTACGTCTACGCTCGAAATAATGCGATCGCTGATTGGTTGAATAATATCTCGTGAATAATTACACCAATCATAGCCGGTGACACAGAACGTTGTGTTTTAAGGTAACCTTGATCTTACTATTTTAATAATTTTTAATTTTACCGAAATTTAATGGTCAACATGAAAAAAATAAAATTGTTGTTCCAAACAACATTATTGGTCATGTAGCTTGTAAACATTTATGAAGGCTCTGTAGTTCTTGTTAAGATTCTTAAATCATTACGATAGTAATAAAATAAAAAGTAGAAGTAAGACAAAATTTATTATTTAACCATATTACATAGATACATCATGAGTAAAACATAAGTAAAAAAAATATAGGAATACAAATTAAAAATCTTATAAGTATACAAATAAAAACTTTTAACTACTATGATTAAACTGAGTGTTTAAAAATTCTTGCACTATATAGAAACAATTTATAAGCAAATATTTTTTAATTTCTGTCTTGAAACACATCATATTGAGCTCTCTAATAGAAAGTGGCAACCCATTGTAAAGCCACAGACAAAATAGCTATCGCCACAGACCGCTCCTGGAATAGGTCAACAGTTTTAAATTTCCGAATTGCCGGTAGAGTACACCACCAGCAGAATTTCAGGAATAATCAAATACAGCGGCCCATATACCTAAGTAACATATAAACAAGACTTTGGTAATGTTGCCAGGCGTACTTACGGATTTCTTTTGTACGCTTTTTTTTATCAATATCTGTTTTTTGCGTTACTGTATTTACTTCAATGTATGATGTAGGTATTGATAAAAATGTTTTTAAAGAATCAACGAATATCTATGTATGTATCATATGATATTCTGCAGTGGTGTTACAATTAAGTTATTTAATCATAATTTCGTTAATTAGCTACCTACTATTTTCATTTTTTGGTATTGAAATACTGCAGAAAATATATTTCCTCCAAATAAACAAAATTCGTAATAATATTTTAAACAGCTTGTAATATAATTTTTTTAATATTTGATGATGACGATAAATTTATTTAATATAGAAGGTGGGTTATTAGTACGTCGCGGAATGTAGGTACAGGTTTTTTTTGTATTTTGACATCCACTTAGGTTTAATAATTAAAGATAGAAAGAAACTTTAAATACAAATGTACGACTTTTCCTTTATTTGATTTGACATAAATACTGGCATAAAATATATATGTTTAAAATAAAAAAAATCATTAAAAAAAATTAAAATTCATCCTTTTGAAAATAACAAACAACGCTTTTTATAACTAACCTTTACAACAACATAAGCAGAATAACTAAAAACGAAATAACATTAATATACCTACAATTTTTACAAACCAACATGCAAGTGATTGTGATGATACAGTTGAAAATATGTTTCAATTTACTATTAATTGCTTCAAAAGAATTGCAGGTAAAAAGAAATATGTCTAAAGGACTGACAATGAGATCGGGGCTGTTTTCTGGCCACCTAAGGTTTCTAATAATATTATTTAGTGTTCGTTGACGGGATTCTTCCTCCAAAATAAATTTGCCGATATTCCTGAAGAACTTTTGCACATTATTGTTATTTGAATAATACAGTTAATTATGTTTTATTTTTCGTCATCAGAATAACCCATTGTAATTTTTTAAATTTTTTAAATTAAAATGGGTTATTCTAATAATGATAAATCCCATGTATTTTTAAAAGAAGGTTCGTTTCTGTCGTATTTGTCTGATTGTGTGCGAGAGAGATAGAGTTATAGTCTGCGATAGAGATAGAGTGACTTTGTCCTCATAGAGAGCTTATCTCTTTCTCTCTCTGCTGCTTCAAGAGTCTCCCCAGCAATTTCAGGACACCTAGGGAGGGAACGTGGGGTAGAGCGCGTGGCCTTGTTAAGCCTTCGTTATCGATCGTAACTCGGAAATGGCTGGAAATATAAACAAATTCCCCTTGGTTCTGATTGTGAGTAGAGCACTCGGTGGCTGACGCAGAGCGGGGTGTCACAATATATGAAAGAAAAAAAAAACAGTATTTGCTTAGACGCTTAAGTATCAAAAAATCTCCCATGGTGAACAAATAAATCTCCCAAGGTGAACGAGTGAAAAACGTCAAAACCCGCATGTCAAAAAAAAAATCGGGACCAACGGTGTGTGACGTCATAGGATAAAAAAGTGTTTATAAGTCGGAAACGGAGCGTTGAATCGAAAAAATAATTGAAAAATGTCAACCCCTCCCTCCCGGGTTATATATGTTCCTTCTGCGTTGAATGCAAAAGGTCCGAAGTCCGTATGTCGAAAATAAATTCTGGAAACAAAAGGTATGTCGTGTTATAGTAAAATGGTCGTATAACTCGGAAACGGTGCGTTAAATCGAAAAAATAATTGAAAAAATCTCCCCACGCCCCTGGTTCTGTATGACACTTCTGCGTTTAATGGAAAAGGTCCGTATGTGTAAAATAAATTTCGGAAAGAAGAGGTGTGTGAGGTGATACAGTAAAAAAGGTCTTATAATTCGGAAACGGTGCGTTGAATTGAAAAAATAATTCAAAAAATCTCCCCACTACTCTGGTTCTGATAGTCCGTTCTGCATTGAATGGAAACGGTCCGAAGTCAGTATGTCGAGAAACAAAAAAGTTAGTCAAAAATTGCAACAGCAGTAGCGAACGCATTATCTTATCTCTGTATTGATTGATGATTTGTTGTTTTTTTTTAAATACATTTCGTATTCAACTACTCCTTGAGATTCCAGCAATCTTACATTATGTTAATTTTTTTGAACACCTTGTGTCACAAATATGAGCACTACCAATGACATGCATGATATGCAACACTGGTGTCAATAATTATTTTACCTATCTAAAGAAATCAACAATAAGAGGCAATACCCATCTAAGGATCTGTATAATGCAATTTTTTTAAACATAGGTGTTAATATCGTACCATATTGGAAGTCGACGCACAAATCTAAAAACATTAATTTCGAGTTTTTGAATTTTCCCATTCCAAGGTGATATAAAATAAATAACTAATTAGGTAAATTCATAGTTTTAATTCAAACTTGATTTATTTTATTTAACATTTAAGGCAAATGTGATTTCTAAACACAAGATAATTTCCTTATCTCTTTAATTACATAATTGAAAGCATTAAATTTATTTAGCAGTTATTATTTGGCAACAAAGCCACCCCTGGAACTGCCGCCTATTAGCAAGTAGAAAAGTTACCACGCTAAATTTTATAGCTGGCTAAGGAGACCCTGCTTCCATTTCGGGTTGCCAATTTCCAGCATTTAAGTAGCAGTCTGTAGCGATACGCTATATTGTCTGTGGTA